ATAGTGGCCATCATGATGCATGCCACTTTCGTGGCATCCCTTTCATGTGCCCTAAACTCAGTAATCTCTTGAGGAGTTGCAACTATCTCATCAATCTCCTTAAGCTCCTTATCAAGGACATATTCCTTGTCCTCGTAACGAGTAATCATTCTGATGTTTCTGATCCATTCATTAAAGTTGGATCCATCAAAAGTGACTTTCCCACACAAGTTCATAAAAGAAAAGGAGCCATTAGGATTAGAGCCAGAAGCAGCAGTGTTTTCAGACATTTGGGATGAAGAAACATTTAGTTTAGAAGAGGTGTGCCGTAATCTAAGTAATAACATACTTAGAAGAGGTATGTCGTAATCTAAGTAATAACATATTTGAAAGGTAGGTGAATGACGATTCACCAATTTCCGCCATAGTCGAAATATTAAAATATTTAATTTGGTTCTTAGAAACTCCTACATTCTTTTGAGATTCAATGAACTTTTCAAAGGCATGTTTCAATCTCGAGTGTGCCCTCAAAGTTTTGTGACTGGGATGCCGAGGATCACAAAACGAGGTGTGAAGTAACCATGCAAATTACTTGGTACCCTTAATAAATTAGCCCTCAATCGATGTGCCGGTTAACCACACACGCTCCATCGATACTATGATAAATATTAAGTTGCCCTTTACCTACCTTGTTAAGTCCAAGTTAGTGTGCCGGTTAACCATACATGCTCCACTAACGACTTAGACAAAGTGTAAAGCGTAATTTCATGGATTAGCACCTTATTCACATTTTTCCTAAGGTAACTAAGATTGGGAATTTAATAAAACATTTAGTTACTTTATAACATTCATCATACTTTTAATGATAATTTATAAGTCCTTGTCTTACCCGTTCGGCTAACGACCCTCCACTAGTCAAGAAAGCGGTGGGTGAGAGTGGACACCCATTAAGTTTCCATTTTATAGGTAGCAACCTTATACCCACCTTATAGACTAGCTTCGTGAATGAGGCATACTAGTGGTAAGACGACTTTGATCTTATACACATATATATTATTATTAACTTATAATATTATAAGTATAAGGGTTGAATTTTAACTTTTAAAATTCTAAGGGTTGGAACTAAAGTTTTAATATGACTTTACTTGTTCCAAAACTTGAGGGAAAGTTTTGTAAACTTTCAAAACTTTTCATTTCTTGTAACTTATGAGTTAAATATAGTAATAAAATGAAGACTCTTCATTTTTCTAATTCTTGTGTTCTTTTAATGGTTTTTAATTCAAGTGTGACTCTTGGTTTTCCATAACATGAGGACAAGCTATGGACTCCATTAAAACACATTATGATCAAGAATTAAACAACCACATAGGTTACAAATAATTCCTATGATCATCTAAACATCATAAGATCAAGAACATGAATATGAACACTTTCATGAATCAAAAATTACACATAAAACTTTGTAATTTTGATAACAAATTGTTTTAAATGGATTAGCAAAGACATTACACCATCTAAAACAAGTTTTCAAGTACCAAAATAGTTTAGGGTAATGTTTCTAGTCCATTTCTAGTAACTAAAGTCGAAAATCTACACTCTGTCACTCCTACTCGTCGAGTGCATAAACCTACTCGCCGAATAAGCTGAAGATACACATGAACTCGGCGAGTTCATCAGGTATACAACAAGTTTTTTGACTTTTTCAACTATTTTGCATCAAGTATCAAACAAACATGCCTAGGCTCTGATACCACTTATTGGTTTTGAGCATTCTAACACTTCCTAAGTGTAAATGCAACCCTAATAAACCTTTGATCTATGTTTGTCTAAGATACATGCAAATAATTAATTTTCCAAGGTTCATATCCTAACTAGCATGGCATGGGGAACATGAATCAAATAAAGCTAGTAGAAATACTTACCTTGTAGTAGTAGTTGATTGCTTGGAGTTTTAGAGCCTAGCACCAATAGTGTGAATGCCTCAAATGGAAATCACAAATCACCACAAACTTGGAACTTTGAGAGAATAGTCACTACTATCTTGAAATTGGCCCTCTTGCTTTACTCACCTCAACAAGTGTCAACTAGTGAGATTTCAAGAACCAAAGCCGCCTTTATATAGTGTGGTGGATTAGGGTTACATCCATGTAAACCCTAATACCCATGTCTCTTCATTTCCATGAGATCCATGGGTTAAAGCTCCATGGAGTATCCATGGACTTTCCCACGCAAGCCTAGCCCATTCCAAATAAGCATTAGCCCACACTATATAAATATAAAAGCTCATATTTAATTAGTAATATCTTTGATCTCTAAATTAATCCTAGATTAATTATAGATCAATACTAATTAAATAATATGATCTTATATTAATATATTAGACCTTATAATATATTAATAAATTATAACTTGTACTATTCTCAAAATATTATCCATAAATTGTTTGGGTGAAGTGCAACCCAAATGGACCATGCCGGGTCGGGTCAAGTACATACCAAATATAGTTATGGACTCAGACACTATATCCAACATCCGGACCTCAGGTCTATCTCGGAGAACCAAGATGCTCCCTACAGCTGATCAAAAAGATCATCTATCATCGGGAGTGGATAACGACTCCTTACCATTAACTTGTACAACTTCCGGTAGTGGATGCACATCCTGTGTGAACCATCCTTCTTCCTGACAAAGAGAATCGGTACTCCCCATGGAGAACTGCCCGTACGGATGAACTGCTTGCCCAACAGTTCTTGTAACTAAGTTGACAACTCCTACATCTTGAATGGTACCAATCAGTACGGCGCCTTGGAGACAGAGGTCGCACCTAGGACTAGGTCGATCCTGAACTCGACCTGCCTCTCAGAAGTCACTCCAGGTAGCTCCTCCGGAAACACGTCCGCAAAGTCTCTAACCATTGGAACCTCAGAAACCAAGGCCTAATCCCTGACCCGTGTATCCATCACATACACCAAATAACCTGCATACATGTGCTGAATATACTGCCAAGCCCTGGTGGCTGAGCAAAACCATCAACCCAATCCGGTGCCCTCGCCATAGATAACCAACTCTCCCCAACTTAGGGTTCGAACTACCACCCACTGATCCTCGCAATCGATCATGGCACTAAAATGACTCTGCCAATCCATGCCCACAATCAGACATACATCCCCCACAGGAATCGGAATCAAGTGAATCAGGAAGGATACCCCAATGATCTCCAGAACGCAACCTCGATAAACTTAAGAAGTAGAAATCCCATGCATGTTGTTGATAGAGACTCGTAACAGACACTGAAGCTCTCCTACAGGCAAACCAAACTCCCTACTAAACGATCGAGCGACAAACGAATGACTCACCCTAGAGTCAAATAATACTGATGTATGTAAGCAGTTCACTAAAACATACCTAACATAGGTAAAACACATATTAGCATAAAATAAATATAATCGACAAGATAAAGAATAGAAACATACCAACCACCACATTAGGTGCTACCCTGGCCTCTTCGGCTGTAAGCTCAAAGGCACATCTTTGAGCTCTCGGGAGCTCTGCTCTACCCTGCCTCCTGTCAGTAATCCTCAGTATAGTTGGTGCTGGAGCCTACGCCGGCCGAACAATGAGAAATGGCCAAATTGGTCTTCACATGACCAACATGATTGTAGTGGTACAAAATCCTCATATCCTGAATCGGGGCTAACTGGTGGCAATCCCTTACAAAGTGCTGCTCTTTGCCTCATTTGCACCACGTATTACCAGATCTACACACCCAAGAATGACCCTTCTCGCACTTCCCACAAGTGCGGCCGAGCTGGCCCCTAGACCTAGAATCAGCGGTCTTAGACCGCTTCGGCGTAGGTTGCAACTGTGTCGGTAGCCTTCCTTTTCTCTCTCAATTGCAACTTAATCTCAAGCTCACGCCACCAAGTGGCCTCCTGTAAGTCTAATAGTGTATCACAATGCTGAATAGCAAAAAGATTATACGATGTCGTTCTTGAGCATGCTCATATAACATGTCATCTGAGCCTGCGCGGAAGCAAACTCCAGGAAAAACATTGCCCTCTCAGTGAATGTAAGTCACCAAATCTAGAACCAACTGGTGCTCAAACACAAGAACAAGAAGCAATCAATAAGAACAAGAAGGGGTGGAATCAAAACGATCTAAATTGCACACGTTTCTACTGAGCTGCAAACGTACTATACATCTGACAAGATTGACCCTATATATATGGAACATGAACCGTAAACAGTTCACAGTCGCAAATAGACTCACAACCGCATTTAAAAATTGAGCTGAAAACACCCTGTTTTTGGTTCACCCAACCGCAAACCCTATAGACACCTAAATAATGACTAACAAAAATCATACAAATGAATGCCTAGCCTAAACCAACAAAATATGACCTTACAGTCTCCCCCTTGGTTTGAGGCTAGCATAAGTACAGTCTTTCTCAATGACAAGCATGTTTGACCTTCCCATTGCTCCTAGCCCCATCTTCTTTTCAATAATCTCCGTGATCATGCTTGTAAATTCTTTAGCAACAACCTCTAGAATCTCATGCTTGCATATGATTTGATGATGAGCCAAAGTGATAATATCCCGTTCACCAAATTGTGGAAAATCCTTCTTATCAACAATACGGAAAACACCATCCAGGAATTTGATGACAACAAAGGTCGTGGCTTCATCAAAAACCCAATATTCCATATTGTTCAGCGATCCATCACAAAAATGCTTAACAATAGGAATCTGTGTCATCTATTTTGTATGAGGCTACATTATACTCTTGAAGCTCTTGTTAGTCTTAGGGTCAAAAACATCTTTACTTGATTTTCTAAGAAGAGTTAGTAATCTGTTCCTCGTGGATCGTTAGATGGGTTAGAAAATGGAGCATCGGCAAGTTTCGTGAGGTCCACCTTTTTCCAACAAGAAAAGTCATTTTTGTGCCTTTAATACTCCTGTTTCCGCTCATGCGCTTTACTAACTAGCTATTTAATTTTTCATGAAAGCCCCACATTAGAATTCATGACCGGTCACCGTACTTATCTCTGAACCGCTTCTTTCCAAGCTCAGTTACAGTCAGTTGGGGCTGGTTTCCACGAACATTTTGATATGAAGTTTTAATGAATTGCCACTTCCCTTTCTTTTGTGAATATACCTGTTTCTGAGCTTCTTTTAGAATAACTCTTGGATTGGCTTGATCCGGTTCACTCTCAAATCGGTCAAGAATTCTTGTGGTTCTGACAGGTGGAGGGTTAACAAGAGGATCGTGAGTAGCTTGGTAATGAGCACAATGAGAAGCTTCTGCTGCATTTGGTTCTACGACCCGTGTCTTGAACTTGTCGCCAAATTCTCTAATTAGCTTGTTTTTCAGGTCGAAGTACACAGCAGTCAAGGCACCAAGGTTTAGCTGCAAGGTGGAGATCTATTTTTATTTTTGAATATTTTCTTCTTCAAGCTCGGAAACTCTGACGTCAACATTTCCTATCGAAACATCCTTCTCGATAAGCTTTTGATTTAGAATTCCGATCTCCTCCTTTAGCTCAAAAATTGTTCCTTCTTCTTTGTTTGAGCTCTCTGCACCTATAGATATACCCTTCCCCCTTGGTGCATAATCAACATCCTCACGAGCCAAAAATCTTGCCATCTGCTCGGAGGCTACATCGTGTGAGGGTGGAGGAGTTGAAGAGCTATTAGGAGCTGAAGAGCTCTCGCCAGTTTCAAAGAAAGATCGTATAACACTTGGTCCTTCATTCACAACATGCACGTGTTGGGTCGACGAAGCTTGTTCCCTAATCAGGACTCCCTGCCTTGGATCGACTCTTCTCCATTTTATTGGAGGCTAGGAGGCTTGTGTCATGCTAAGATCACATTCAGATGGCAAAGAGGCTGGAGTAGCAACTGAAAGGAGAGGAATCCTTCTAGTTCAATCCAGATTAACTAAAGTGTCAGCCATCTAATCTGTAGTTGGAGGTGTCACCTTAACAACATTACTAAGTCCCTCAGTCTCCATTATAGGTTGTACAACATCATGGACATCATCAAATAATGCATTTAGTTCCTGACTACTTGGCCTGAAATCATCACCTTGCTAGAAGCCGAAGAATAAGTTATCACCATCAAATCCGGACAGATCACCATCTTGATCCATATTAGCTGCATCATCACCTTCATCATCATCAAAGTCAAGTACATCATCACATAGATTCATCGCATCTTCACCTTCATCATCATCAATTGCCTCATCATCATCATTTACCTCCACATTAGTCATCGGTACTGCGTATTCCTCGGCAACAATTGCAACGGGCGGAACTGGGTCTTCTTCATTCTCAGAAGTAGCAATAACATCATCTTCATTGTCTGAGGAGCTTTCAGACTCAGATACTTCACTAATCTTTGCAAACTGGCCAAACTTCTCCAGTGGGTACTTTCCTTGGAATACAAATTTCGTACCCTTGCGGTTTTGTTTCATGAGACCGAAAGTATTAGCACCCAAATACTTCCAATCTGAAGTTTCACCTTTTCTTTCTAACTACGAATATTTATAGTTAAATATCATCTAGAGAAACCTTGGAAACATCAGAAATTTTTCCTTCCTTTTTCCTTCTAGATTCCTCATCATCTCATTCAAAATGTATCTTGAAAAGTTGAACTCAAGAACCATGGAAAGAGCAGCAATAGCACCAGTGTTCAATAAGGAAATCTCATCAGCACCAGATTTCCTGCTTGAGATGCAAATTATGAAGGAGTCAGTAAGAAATTGCGAGTAAGGAGGCAACAGCTTCTTCAAGGTAGGTGGAAATACTCCTTCATATCCCATTCTTTCGAGAATCTCTTGAGTTTGATCCATAGAAATATCAGCATGAAACGCTGGCTGGTCATCGATTTGCAGCACTTCACGAATAGTTTGCTCAGATACTACAAGTTTCTTTCCATGAACAATAGATTCCACAGTGTCTTCTTCATCTTCTCCTTTACTCACAGAAGCCTTATTCCCAAACTACCTCACCAAGTCTTGATTAATGATTGGATTTGTCGTGAAGGCAGATGCAAGGCAAGATTTCTCAAGTCCATGAATCATGGACCTAAATTCTTGGTGTGCTGCTGGAGGCTAAAAAAATAAGCAGCAATTTTGTGATTATCCGAAAATTTCAAGTCTGCCATTTGTTTTGCACCAAACGAGCCAAGTGAGTACACCAAGGATTTAATCAATTAAACTTAAGTTTTCTCAATTAAAATTTGATTAGGCCTCAAATTAATTTGATTTAACTGAAAATCATTTCTACTTCCAAATCCTACAAAACGCAGTTTGATGCGGAAAATCATTTCTGCTTCCAAATCCTGCAAAACGCGATCGATTCAGGTTAGATTTAACATTATGAGGGTCGCATTTCCAGTACCTATAAGAATCAAGGACCAATTTCATATTATAATGCAAAAAGATGGTGAATCAGAGAGATGAATGATGAACAGGTGAGAGAGAAGTGGGAGGGGTTTGCGATTGAGAACGAAAAAGTGAGGGTAGTAGGGATTTTCATCGGAAACCTTACCTTTTATACACTGGACCATTTCCCGCCCATATCCCATGGTCTGCAAACCCAAAAGCCACAAATCTAAACCCAATATATCTAATTTTATAAAAAATGAAAATATTTTGAAGACTTTAAAACTAAAATTTATAATAAAATGAAATAAATTCTAAAAATTTGAACTAAATTTATTTTGTTTATTTGATTTTTAAATTTATTTAATTTTTGTAAGTAAAATATAAAAATAAAATAACACTAATTTCTCTTCACCATTGCTAATATTATTTTTATGATTTTGGGATCAAAGTTTTAAGACAGCCTTAATCTGTTTTGGGTACCTCCACCTTCATGAATAGATATGGTCAATCGCCGGTATTGTGGACCACTTGAACACAAAAGATTGTGATAAATTTGGACATGCTACAAGTGACAAGACTTTTGAACCTATATACTTAAATAACACCCCTAGAGGAACCAGTTAGCTGATGACAACCAATGATATTCTTGAAAACCTAACTTTAGCAGCGAGATCTACATACAACCTGTTAAATGTTCAATTTTAGATGTAGTAGAATGTGTTTCCCGCTTCCTGATATAGCCCGATAATCAAGGACTTCGAAAATATTCCTTAGCTTAGATGAGCAGACAATTTATAAGGAAGACGACAAATTTAGAAATGTATATGTCTTATTCCCAGGTTGGATCTCTTTCAATCACACAGAGAGATTAACATATGATTAAATGAATTAGAGGGATTTCGAAATAGAATGTTCCATATGATGTGTTCCAGGTCAGATAAGAACTTATCACACAAAGGAGACAACATATGACTAACAAAAAGAAAGAATTACATATAAAAGGAGAAGCATAGAAATACAGTTGCATATGTTGCAGTCCTAGTCGGATCTCTTCTAATCACACAAAAGGGGCAACATATGACTCACAGACAGAAAGCAAGAAAATAACCTTCTACAGACCTACTTTATTGGAATTTCCTTGTCGTCCTATCAGTACCGAAATTAAGGACATGAGTCCATACATCGAGGGAAACTTACACCATAGTTCTAGATACATATTACTTTAGTATAGCCCACAGATTACCATGTATATATCACTGCTCAGTCTACCCGAGCGTTGTATTGTCAGACAAAACGAAACTATCTACGTCAATAGTTGTAAAGTCCTTTTATCGTCCATCTATGCCTAGTCTGGTCCATCGAAATCTTTCGTGGCTACCAGCGCATTGAACACAGAACCTACACAGTTCAGCGTTGCTACCTTACACAAATTAAAATTGCATGTTATCACTTGGTTAATATCACTTCCCAACTAATTACCTGCAGACAACCTCCATTAGAATATATTTTTTGATTTTTGTATTTTATGATTTTCGTTTTGTTTTTATTTTCCCCCCTAAATTTATGCATAGCAAAGAAAGGAAAATAAATGCGCAAATTTAAACTAACCTAACATAAAAATTATTCTTCAAAACATATCATTTTGAGAAACCCCACAAGCACATAGAATCGAGCTTTGTTGAACGGTTTTGTGAACAGATCCACCACATTATTATCAGTGTGAATTTGTTCTAAACGGATGAGCGAACGCTCATAACAATCTCTAATGAGATGAACTTTGATGTCGATGTGCTTGGTTTTTAAGTGTTGGACATGATTTTTAGCTATTTAGATTGCAGCATCATTATAACAAAAGATTAGGGTTTCTAGAAAATTCAAAGTGTAGTCCAAAAGTTGGTGTTGATTCCAGATTACTTGAGAGAAACAGGCAGAGGCAGCAACGTATTTCGCCTCAGTTGTTGAGGTTGAGACAATTTTTTTTCTTGCATTGCCACGACACCAAACGGCCTCCTAGGAATTGACATCTCCCTGAAGTTGATTTCTTGTCAAGTTCACAACCTCCATAATTGCTGTCAGCAAATGCATATAAATCAAATCAGAATTTTTAGGATACCAAAGACCTAGTTTTGGGCTACCTTTGAGAGACCTAAAAATTCTTTTGTCAGCAATTAAATGAGTTAGTTTAGGATTAGCCTGATAACGTGCACATTGCTAGACTGCGAACATGATGTCGGGTCTGCTCGTAGTCAGATACATCAAGGATCCAATCATCGATCTATAAATTGTTTGATCTATAGATTCTCCATCATGATCTACAGTCAACATGGGTCGTTCAACCATCGGTGTCAAGGAAACTTTAGAATCTTTAAACCCAACCTTCTCAAGCATGTATTCAACATATTTCCCTTGATGTCAAAGGATTCCTGTTAATATTAATTAACCTGTAGACCCAAGAACATGGTCATTTCTCCCAAATAACTCATCTCAAATCTCTTCTTCATAACAGGCTCGAACTATTTGCTCAACTTCGAGCTTGTCGACCTAAAAATGATGTCATCAACATATATCTGTACAAGAATTAGGCCAGCATCAATATGCTTGATTAAGAGCATTTGATCAATCGTATCTCTGGTATAAGCATGCTAAATAAAATGATCTGTTAGTGTAGCATACCAAACTCGAGGATCCTGATGTAACCTATACAGAGCCCTGTCTAATTTGTTGACATGATTTAGAAATTTTGAGCTGACAAAACTAGGAGGTTGGTCAACATAAATTTCCTCTTTCACAGCTCCATATAGAAAAGCGGTCTTGACGTCCATCTGATAAACGATGAACCCCATGTAGGAAGCATAAGCTAGGAAAATACGGAGAGCTTCAAGGCGCACTACAGGAGAATACACTTCAGTGTAGTCAAGACCTTCAATTTTTCGAAACCCACGAACAACCAGAAATGCTTTCTTTCGTGCAATCGCCCCACAATCGTCTTGCTTATTACGAAACACCCATCATGTGTCTAAAGACTTCTTTCCATTAGGCAGCTCAACCATCTTCCATACCCACAATTTCTCAAATTGATTAAATTCCCCGTGCATCGCATAAACCCAACTAGGCTCATTCAGTGCCATTTCCACGTTCATTGGCTCGATCTGAGAAATGAAGATAGAGTAGAGACAAGAGTTGACATCTCCACTCTGAATTCTTGTTTTAACTCTGTTGTCTAGTTGGCCGTTGATGTTTTTGATCGGATGATCACGTTGAAGTCTAGTGGGAATTTCATAGCCGATGTCGTTGATTGTGACAGGAAGGTTGTTGATGTTGATGAGTACATCATCTGTTGAATCATCTGACTCAGACGGTCTGGAACAATGAGAGGTGCTTGCCACATACTCATTTGCTATTGTTTTAGGAAAGAGAAGCTCCATGAATGATTGAGTAGAAACAGAAGTATCTTTGGTAATGAATTATCTTTCAGCTGTAGTAAGAGGAGTAGCTTCAGCATCAGGAATTATTCTTTGACTTGGAGAACCTAAAGAATTACTTGCAATAGCTTGATCCACCATAGGAGTAATAGGAGGCACCAAAGGTGGTATGTACACAACATCTTCCTCTTCATCTTCAATAACAGCCTTTGTACCTGAGGAAGAATCTGATACATCATTTGAAAACACATTAAATGATTTAAATAAAGAAACATAATCAAATAACCAGTCAGGACCGAATCGGGAATCTATCTAATTCTCTTCTAGCCAGCGCACATCAAAATATTCCACAATCTACTTGGTGATCTTGTTGTATACACGATAACCCGTGTGCACGGCATATCCCACAAAGTAGCAATCATCAGCCTTCGAGTTGAACTTGGGGTTGGATTCTAGGTGAAGGAGGGTGCAGAGACATCCAAATATTATGAAGTGAGCAACTAATAGCTTGTAATAGTACAGAAGTTCATATGGAGTCTTCATTTGGGCTTTGTTGATCAGGACACGATTCAGGACATAGCAAGAAGTGTTGATCGCCTCGACCCAGAAGAAGACCGGTAGTTTGGAATCACAGAGCATCATCCTTGCAGCGTCTATCATAGT